AAAAGAAAGGGAAGAAGCCCCAAATCTTCTCAAAGATTTTATGAAGCTGGCCAGAAATCAGCCAGGTAAGGATGCATAGTACAAGTTAAATAAGCAAAATGTGTAGGCAAACTTAGCTTTCCATAAACTATCCACAATTCAAGTACGTAAGTAAATATCATTTCCATCTTAGGAAGGCTATATCATAGGCCAGGCACAGTGATTCACGTCTACAATGCCAATGACGTGAGAGAGAGAGGAGGGAGGACTGCTTGATCCAAGTGTATGAGACCAGGCTGGGCACCATAGTGAGGCTTCATCTCTTCAAAACAACCAAAGAGCTGGGCTCGGTGGCTCAGCCTGGAATCCCGTGCTTTGGGAGGCCGAGGTGAGTGGGTTGCCTGAGCCCGCGGGTTCGAGATCCGCCTAGACAACTTGGCAAGACCTCATCTCTACAATAAATCAAAAAATTAGCCGGACGTGGTAGCGCATGCCTGTAATTCTGGCTACTTGGAAGGCTGAGGCAGAAGGATCGTTGGAGCCCAGCAGGTCGAGGCTGTGGTGGCCGGGAGTGGCCACTGCACTCCATTTTGAGTGACAGAGTGAGACTCCAACTTAAAAAAAAAAAAAAAAAACCAATAAACCAGATGTGGTGGCATGAGCCGTGTAGTCCCAGCTACTCAGAAGGCTATGGCAGGAGGATCACCTGAGTCTAGGAGAGTGAGGCTGCAGTGAGCTGTGACCATGCCACTGCACTCCAACCTGGGCAACAGTGTGAGACCCTGACTTAAAAGAAACAATAAGCAAAAACAAAAAACAAAAAAAACACCTGTGTGATTATCCCTTTAGATCCAACTCAGACCTGACATACTTTATGTCAGATTTGGCCTTTAATGTGAGAATTACCTCCAAGAAGATTTATATTCAATATTTGATCTTTAAAAATTTAGAATCAAGCCAATGAATGATGAGATGAATCGCTGACTTCCCTCCCTCGGCCCTTCATGAAATAAATAGGGAAAACAGAATATTAAAAACAAAAAGATAAAGGAACCAAAGAAAGAGATACAGTCTCATATCACAACTTTAACAAGGGGCAACTAAAGAAAGGAAGACGACATGTGGAGGTGTGTCCGGGCACTATCCTGATACGCATGTGAGTCCAAACTAGAAAAGCATCAAAAAAGCAGACCAGCCTCACCAGCACCATGTCAATTTGGAGAAAGGAAATGAGGCAAAAACATCTGAAATCCTTTTAAAGCCCCTGAACTCCTACCACAAGACCTTAATGGGTAAGAAAAGAGTAGCCCCAAAGGGGTTCCGGCAGAGACAGAAGGCACTCGAAACCAGCGGAAGGAAGTTGGGCATCCAAAAAAACCCAGAGAAAGACAGGCAAGCTCCGATTTTCCAGCAAAACGTGCCAGCACCCTGTCCTGTCCTCCTCCCATTCCTTAGAACTGCAGGATGTGGAAAAGAGCACAATACAAGCAGTCGCTCCAAGGAAAGACCTGCAGAACTCAGTGCAGAGGATTTCAGGGAGAACAGAGCCTCACTGTATCAGAAAAGATGGAAGACAGGAACAAGTCAACCACGTAATCACAGACAAGTAAGATGCAAAGAATCAAAACAACTAGCTATGCAAACTAGAATCCAGCAATCCCTTAGCTTGCAAAAGGCAATTAATTAAAAAACCAACTTAGTGGGAAACAGAGATTAGGACCATAAGAAAATGCCCCAGCTGGGCAACTTGGTGAGACTTCATCTCTACAGTAAATCAAAAAATTAGCCGGGCATGGTAGCGCGTGCCTGTAGTTCCAGCTACTTGGAAGGCTGAGG